GGGGGGGGGGGGTTGTTTGAGGGGGGGGTGTAGGAAACCAGCCCTCTACTGTTTCTCGAGCGAAGGCTGCTGAGTGCGTAGGGTAGGAGGGAGGAGCAGCCTCTCTTGGAGTCTTGAGCTGTTGGTGCTGTTAGTGAGTAGGAGCAGCCTTCTATTGTTTCTCGAGCGAAGGCTGCTGGGTGCGTAGGGTACGAGGATAGGAGCAGCCTCTCTTGGTATTTTGAGCTGGTGGTTGCACTACTGTTGGTGTATGGGAAGAGCCTCCTTTAGCTTCTCGACAACAGGGTGGTAGAAAGAAGGAACAACCTGTTTTCGTGGCTCAGGTTTTGAGCTGATTGCTTGTTGACGCTGTTGGTGTACACGCACAGCGTTTCTTATTTCTTGTTGGTAGGAGAGAAGGACAACCTATTGTTCGTGAAGAGCTTTCTGAGCTGTAGGTTGCTGGCGTGCTGGCGCTGCTCATCCACTCCTCCTGAACGCCTCCACGCTTGTGGGCAAACGAACCGGCTTTCAGGGTACCGAATGCGATGAAGGTGCTCCTGAGGAGACCCATCGCCTCGCAATCCAGTGGCCCCGACGGTTTAACGACTGACAATGACGATGGCGGCGGCGGGGACGGGGGCGACGGCGAGGGAGGGGGAGGGGAGGGGAGGGGGGTCGGCCAATGGGGTGTGAGCATGGAAAGGGGCGTGTGGGACGAGCCAATCATTAAGCGCTGGGAGGACGGAAAGGTGCGTTGGAGTTGAACGTTGTCAAGGGGGCGCCGTCAGGTGCGATTGGGTGTGGCCGTCCGCAAGCTTATTTTAGAAGGTCCTGGCCCAAGATTAGTATCTCGCCGCTTGGTGTTGGTAGAAATGTGGGTGAACGTAGTGTTTTCGAGTGGTGGTGAGCGTGTGTGTGTGTGTTTTCGTCCTATTAATTATGGCGACAGTTCCCCCATTTTTCGTGGTGAGACGTGTACTGCACTTTTCAGCGTATGTAGTGTACTACACTTTCAGTGTATTTTTTCGTACAACTACGACCATCCAGGTTCACACTGGAGGGGGTAAACACCAGGGCTTATTTTCTTCTTTTTATTTATTTTCATGCCCCACCTTCCTCCTGCGGTGCGTGCTGAATTTTATTTTTATCGCGAGAAGGGTCCAGCCGTCCCTTTCCCTCGTCGACGGTGCTAACGTCGAAGTTTGGTACTCACGAGAGCTTGTCAGCTATATTTCGCGTTCACCCGCACATTTCGTAATTTTTTCACCCCATGGGGATTCGAACTCACGACCGCTGCAAGCAGCGGATTACGAGGATGCCACTAGACCACCGGGGCGTGTACGCGACGTTGGGATGCTCTGGGTCGTTGTGTAACGCAGAACGAGTATCCTGCGTAACCGCTGCTTGCAGCTTGCAGGAAGTATCCTCCAACAAATCTCACCTTGCTCCGCGTTCGCTCTGTCGTGTCTTGTCGCTGTTGTCATCTACTTCAGAACCGGCACAAGCCAGCGTTTCGACCGTCGTCTCCTCTCAAGACATTCCGAAATATCTTCAAGAACTTCGAGTCTTCGGACGACCCAGAAGAACAAAGGGCCCAGCAACACTACGCTACTCTCGGATCGGTGAGCACGAGCTCTGTGATAACACTAGCACCATCACTCAACACTAACCCTGAAACGCTACACTAGGCACAAACTCTGACACTTGAAAATGACGCTTGAAACACCAGCTCCAACACTGACACACTAGCGCCAAGCGCTACACTGGACGTTAGCTCTACCACCACCACCTCCAGCACTAAAACTAGCTCTTGCACGTAGTCCGACACCTCACACTAGTTCTTACTTACTCTTACACGAACCTGCACACTAACGCTCACACTTAACGCTTCATCTGGCATGCAGTTATTAATAGCTCTAACACTGCGGCAAGACGAAGCATAGATGAGGCATAGATGAAGGGACGTGTTGCGGTGGATGAAGGCATGCTTATATGAAGGGATGCATTGGTGTATTGATCGTGTTGAGTTGGAGATTGCACACAGTAATGCACTTTGATCGCGCGTTTATTGTTGCCACCCTGTGGGACAGGAGGGGAGCGATATCATCACTTTCGAGACCCTCAGCCCGTCGTGGAACAATGTTCTGCACGCCTGGACGCTCAACTTCAACGGTCGCGTCAAGATCCCGTCTAAGAAGAATTTCCTCGTTGCCCCAGAAAAGGTACCACGACGGCCACCGCGTCTGCTTGTAGTGGTATACACGGCATTTTCAATTATGTTGTTCACTAGTCGTCTCTATCACATGTACATAAGATAGGGCTTTGCTGTTCCTGGGCAGTACATGTCTCGGTCTGTGTCGCAGGCCTGCTCTTTGTGATCGTTGTGATCTTCATGCCGTGGTTGAGTGTTGTTGGTGTTGATGTGGCCAGGCTGGCGTGTTTTATTTGAATTCGTATCACACGAAAATATGCTAAATAGTTTCACCTCCTTCCTAACATCGGCCAGGCAGTATGCTTGAAAGTGAATTCACAGCTTGCTTACAACCTCGCGTGAGCCTATCAGACATGCATGTGTGTTTGCTCCCCGGTGGTAGGTAGCAGGCACAACAAGGAAAGACTTTTCAACCTATCCTCTTCGACTGCCGCTGTATCTCGGACGGAGAGTTTCTCTCTTTCTCTGATTGTTGCAATAATATTTTCTTTTCCATCCCCTTCGACTGTGGTTATGTGGTCATGTATAACGGGTAGTCGTGTTCGATTGTAAGATTTTCAACCCATGGCCCCCCCACCCCCCTCGACTGCGGTTGTATCTCGAACGGATAGTCTTCCTCTGATTGGTTGCAGGTATAATTTCCATGACAAGATACAAGCTTCTGTGCATGTGGAAAGAGTGAACCATCCTCGACAGACGTAGGGAGGTTGTACCCTTTTGTGTCAAGGTGATCTCCACACTTGTGTGTGTTTTGTTTTCGGTTGCTGCGGCTCAGGGCAATCTTGTGATGGAGCAAGACTTCGGGGAGGGCAAGGTGCACATCAGACACGGAAAGATGAGCAAGAGCCGCTTCTCCGTCGACTTCCGTCACCCCGTCAGCCCGATAGTCGCGCTGGGAGTCTGCTGCAGCACCTTCGCCAACAAGATGGTCGTCACTTGATGAGAAGGCGACGACGGTTGTATGGATTGGGCTTCCTAGCCGCATGGTGAAAACGGGCTTCCTTGCCCAGAGGCGTCGCGACGCATTGGGTGGATTTGTATGATGATTTATTTTTCGCACGCAATGTGCGAAGATATTCTAGCATCTCGCGGTGGTCTGGTTCGTGGCATATCATCCGTGTCTCCTCGCTGTGTGTGTACCCTAGATGTTGTTGTGATGTCGCCGAGCACGTGGCGTGAGCACCATTCCGCTGTTGCAATGCTTGCGAATTTCTCGCTCTTCAGTGTTTGTCACAAGTGTTGTTCAAGGCATCCTGCTGTACCTCGTCTGTTGAGTTGAGGCGTTTTTCGGTGCTTGTTTCGAGGGGGGCGGGTGTTGCCATTTGGGCCGTGGCGTGTAGGACCCGAGTTAGACTCTAAATTAATCGTCCTTTTGAGTCGGCGGTGTTCGCGGTATATACCTAGGGATTGTCATTCAGGAAGAGTGCGCGAAGACGAGGTTCCTCCGCTGGCACATAGAAGCGAGTATGCAAGACTATTTATTCACCATGTAGATGTTTGCCTAGAAATTGATGGATTGTTTCGAAGTTTGACGACTGGATTGGCCGGCGCTAACGGAGTGCTCACACCTCCTGCCGCTGTGTAGTGGCTCGGTGGTACACATTGTTTCCAGCAGAAATTAATACCGAGCAGGAACGATCAATTATATCGCAGCTCCGAAGAAATGACGAAACAATTCCCCCTCATCGCGGGTGAACTTCTCCGCTCTGCCCTCCACCACCTCACAGCAGTGGGAGCGAAGTCGAATGATCGTACGCGAACATTGTAACAACTTGGGCTGCATGTTGCGAAGGCCATCGAACAACTCGTTTCGCCCCCCCCGCTGCCCCTTTCGACGGAAAAGCAAATTTAGCACGTGGTCGGGATGGCACTCAAATGTGAAGCATGGTGTGCCGATAAATTCTCGCCGGCATGCTGTGGGTGCTTCCTACTTGCTGTACACCAAATGGGGTCTTCGCGAGCACACTTTGCCCGTGAAACTAATGTTCATTTCCTCGAGTCTTGCTGAATTGGGGCGCTCGAGGCTGCAATGCCAAATCAGGGCGCCAACAACATTCTGCGAGATTTTGTGTCGTGAAATGGGACATGCATGTTGGTGTGCTCAAGCGGCGCAGAGTTCGACGAGTGCATTTTTTTCCTGACAACTGTCTTGGAAGCAAAGTCAAGAACGACCTTGCTAGGCGGCCTGTTTGCGAAAAACATAGACGCCTATCCCTGGGCTTTACAGGCGGTATGGTGCAGTAGGACACGCTTGCACAATGGGAATCGCAACAATATTTCCTCTTAGCTGGCCGTGTCAGCGATACACGAAACGATCGAGACCAAACTTGAACCGCGACACACCGAGGGCGTATGTACCTGGTAAGCCATAGCGTAAGCATACATCAACACACCAATCGAGGACAGTCACGCAGCTTCATCCCGACATGACCGAGCAAACGAAACAATCATTTCTCAAGAGAGGCGAACCACCAGTTGAACCGTTCACGCTCATCAAATCAAGCCTTCCTTGGCGACGAGCGTGCGCCGATACACTGACTAGAGAGGGCGTCCGTGGAGAGTAGACTGCACTCAAGTGAAGCACACAAATTGCAACCCGTCCCACAAGCGAAGAGTCACAACGAATCTGCTGACCTAGCTACGCCAGGGTATCCAAAAAATGAAAGGAGGCGTCCCGACAAATGTACCGTAGGTGATTTGACGCAAGATACCACACCCCTTCGACGAAATTCAAAGCCCGCCTACTCCACGACCAAGAGGATGCCCAAATCAAAACGATGCGAATGCGGAAAGCTCTCGACGAGACGGTTCCAACGCGCTCAGCTCCTGCAGCAGAGAAATCGAGCTTCGAACCCCTCCACACGGAGATGCGGTGTTTAACGCGACCAACAAGGTCACATGCTACTGGAGGGAAATCCCCTCGTCTTGCTCCTTGGGTTGAGAGACACACTACGCAAACCCGTCGGCCGCACGCAATGCTTTGCTTACTTTGCCGCAAAATCACCAAAACAGCAACACAGTGTACCCGCCAGACAAATGTACTATTTTACCCCGAATAGTGCACCCCTCTAACGTCGCATCAGTCTTCAGCAGTATCTCTCGCTACATACACCGACGTTCGGATCATGCCTTGGAACGCTTGGCGCTCTTGGGCTTCTTGGTCGAGGCGGGCGAGGCCGCAGCGGGGGTCGCTTCTTCCGCCTCCTCCAAGGGCCTCTTCTTGCCCGCACCACCGCCGCTCTTGGGCGACTTGGCTTTCTTCTTCTTGCCCGTCGAGCCTACGCTAGCAACGACGGTGGGTTCAGGCATCTTGGGGGCCTTGACCTTTTTCCCGGAGCCCTTCTTGCCCTTGACGCTCTCCAGTGATTTCCCGCTGGAAGTGGCGGCGGCAACGTCTTTCTCCTCCGCTTCTGTTGGCTTGGAGGGCATCTTGGCGCTCCCCTTGGCCTTGGGTGTTGATTTCGCTGCGACTGTTGCTGGTTGTGCCGAGCTCTTCGACTTTTTCGCGCTGGGTGCGTCATCCCCCTTTGATGACGCCTTTGCAGCCGCTTCTGCTTTGGCCGCTGATCTCTTGTCGTTCGCGTTCGATGCCCCCTCCCCGCCCCGCCCCCCCCAAGTCTCCTTCCCACCCTTCCCGTCTTCCACCTTGGCGCTTTCTTTGTTCTGTTTGGCGCCTTTGGGTTTTTGGAAAGGTCCCTTCGCTACGTTCCGGTCCTTTAGAGTTGCCACGAACCCCGGGAAATCGTAGTCGATGCCGAGCTTGGCGAGCTTGTCCTTCTTGGCCTTGTCCTTTTTGAGCAGCTTGGCTGTGTGTTTTTCGTCCTTTACCTGAGTTCTGTGATGTAGGTGGGGGGGGGGTTACGGCAATCGACGTTGAGGACGGAGAAACCACATTACAATAAGGAGATTGTGTCGTAAAAAACGCAACAAAACAATACCAAGAGGTACGCATGAACTCATGCCAGGAGCGTGCCTTGTGCGGCGGCTTCCACAAACCCGCATCACCTCCTCACTCCACTCCACCAAAACCAAGAACGTCACCTCCCCAAACTGCAGCACATTTACACATGCACAAAAGCAGCGGCGGCGCAAGTTATGACGTGGGATGGCTCCGTGCCGAGAGGGAAGTACTCAACACCGTCTCCTCGCTTGCCTGTGTTCCAGTGTAGCCGTTTAAACGCCTCCTGCAGCGCAGCACCGGCACCCAGCCCTCCTAACAGTACAATCCCTCTGCACTTATTATGATTTCATGATTGCACTAGAGACGGACATCCCGGTTATACTCGGTTACCGTATATGACACAAGATAACACACCCCCTGCACCGATTTTCAAAGCTCGATTACTCCACGACGAAGAGGATGCATAAACGAAAAGATACATCTTCGACAAGCTCTCGACGACACAGTTTCAACGCCGCCGTTTTCGGCGCTGTGGCTGTTCCTGCAGTTGAGAAATCGAGCTTCGAAAACTGGTCAAGGGTGTGTGTTATCTTGTGTCATATATGGTATTTGGAAACCTAGTAGGCGTCCATCGGTGAAGGGTCTCGAAACCAAAAATCGGAGGTGTTAAAAAAAGGAAGTGTTCTTCAAACGGTTAATGCCCGGGCAAATAAAAACCCTTCTAACCGGTTCTTTGTGTTTTAGAGAACAATGCCTCCTAGCCGGTCATCGGTTCCTGCTCTTTCCCGTCCGATGCCCATCTCCATTTCTAATCATGACCCAAAACCGCGTCGCCAACCAAGGAAAAAACAAGAAGCACAACACGCAGTGGCAACAGCACCAACAATACGTGCCACCATCACCTAAATGCTCACCTGTCGGCGTTGTACTTCTCTCTGTAGAGGCCGTGCCAGTTGACCTTGCGAAACTTCACCCCTGCGCCGTCGAAAAGGTTGGGGTGTATCTCCTCGAACTTGAGCACGCGGCACACCAGCTGCTTGTCGAACAGGTAGTACCCGTTCATGGTCTCGGCCACGATCTGGGCAACCTCCGGAGATGCGAACTCCACGTAAGCGTAGCCCTGGAGAAGGGTGCGTTAACGCAAGGTTATAGGGGAGATGCGATCGATCAGATTATGTAAAGGGTTGCTGGTGCCATTAAAGAGGTACGATATCCGTTTCATGCGTGTTGATAGGTTGTGAACAAGATAAAAATAAGCGTATGCATAGCTCTTAAGCACGCGTACACACAGGAAGCCAAGGTATTGACGGGAGTAGATTGAATCAGATTTCTCGAAGGTTGCGTGTGAGATATGCGTCGTTTTATGTGTTGATGGGAGTTTGTGGCCGAGATACGATACGCGTACACCTGAAGCGTGCGTAAACACCGGAAAACTCGAGGTGTTGAGGGGAGTCAATTGAATCATGGTGCTTTCATGTGCCAACTTGGTGGGTTGGTGGTCGGTGTGCGATGAGGTATTGATGCTTGCGATGTGCGGCGCCGAACACATTGGTGACCTACATCAATTCGCGGCGTAAATCTTCCCGCAACATCGTTTGGCATAAAATACAGTCTACTGTACACGGTGTGCATCGAGGTAGAATCATGCTTGAACGTCACGAAAACTATCCTTTTCAAGTGGTGAATACCGAAACGAGAAGTCGTTGGGTATCACTTGCGGCAAGGAATAGCATCAGCTAAACACCAGAGAAGCAATTCTCCGGCAAGCGAGGAGTGGGGAGGATCTATACGTGGATACACGATTACCCTCGAAAAACAACTACCATGCACCGTCAGGGATAACATTTGCCGTGGCGAAAGGAACAGACATCGAAACGCAAGGTCAACATCTGGTGGACGCGATGGTGCTCAAAGTTCACGACGTGGTTTGAAGGAATCGCTGGTATGACGAACTTACTGCTCGTGTTCCTTTTTCTTCTCAACGAAACTAAGGACAGGGAAGAAGTTGTCCTCACCCTGCTACTGTAGTGCTTGATAAGTGTGCAGCGCACAAGAGAGAAGAGACAACATCTGCCGTAGAAACTTCCACTGATACATGTACTCCAACCGATTGGAATTAGCGTAGGGCAAACGCTAATTGTTGGACCGAGCAGACCTTATCCTGCGTAGCAGAGTGAGCCTTGGCACTGCACCCACTTAACCTCCTTTCCCACCGACAGCAAAAAACAAAAAAAAGAATAACGACACAACTTTGCCCACAACTAGTGCGCGTTCGCGCTGTGTCTAGCAATGTGCATCGATGACGGCTACCGATGATTCAAACACACAGAAATCGAGTACGAGGAGACAGACAAAGTCAGCAAGTAAAGGGCTAAGCCTCACCTTGCAACGTCCGCTCTTCTTGCTTCTGGAGATGCGAACCCGGATGACGTCCCCGAACTGCTTGAAGAAGCCATTCATCGCCTCCTCGTAAAACCCGTGCGGGATGTGCCCGATGTAAACCACGCCCGAGGGCTCTCCCGCAGGCCCCACAGGAACCACCGACCCCCCCCCCTTGCCCTTGCGCCCGGCCTTCTTAGCGTGTCGGGGAAGCGGCGGGGGCTTAAGCTCATCGCCATCGGATGCCTCCCCGCCGCTGAGGTCGCTCTCGCTCATGCTGTCCCACTCGGCGCCTTCCAGCGCCGCTAGCTTCTGCTCAAGATCTCTCCGGATGACCTTCGCCATCTTTGCAGCGTGAGCGAGGGGGGCTTGGCCAGGTTGTGTCCGCTGATGTTAAAGCAAGTGTGCGATGCATTGGGTGGTGGAGAGGGGGCGATGCGGCGGAATTGATTTTCGGGAGTTTTACTGGTTCTATTTGCCGGTAGGTTCGGGATACGACATCAATCGTCCCCTCACGATATCCCTTGGCGCCACTGGGACAGCTGCTGCTGCCACCCAGTGTGTGGAAGCAGCACTTCGGGGTTGAAACCTGCATTATTGTGTGATCTGGAGAATTGTTGGGGTATCCTGGGTGTTCGTGCTCCGCTAGGCGGCTAGAGAAACACTTGCACACAGCAGGACTGGGGGGGCGAGATGGAGCTTCCCGATGCCCTCAGCCCAGACAACCCAGGCCATACCCAGACCATATACCAGGTGAATGGAGATCGGTTTAAGCTTCTACAACGTGCTACTTGCGGTCTTCCGAAGCGTTTTGTAGGTCCTAGCCTCAGCAGGACAATGCCGTGGCGTCGTTGCTGCTCTGTTCGACAAGCTAGACCAACGGCGGTTATTGTTCCTCAGTCAGCAGTGCGGTTCGGTGCTCGGTGCCTCCTTGAGATGTTTTCGTACCGCATATTGTGCTTCTGTCTCTTCCACAGCTTTTCCTACCATGACCCTTGCGTCAAAATGTGGAACAAGGCACTGACTCGTTTTCTGCGCTGCGATATTCTCTGCAATGCAGTAGTCGTCTCCTATGGTAGACAAGAAAAGTAGAGATGCGTCGCAAAAGCACTCCATGTGACTGATGTCCTTCTCGGAACATACGATTGTGGCAGTTGTAGGTGGGCCGTGCCACTGGAAGGAAAGGCCGACGATTTCGATTCCAGATTTCGAGCTGGCTTCTATCACTGGTGCACGTTGGGATTGCATCGAAATTGAAATCGAAAACAACCAGGAAGACCCGAAAAACGCCCGAAAACTGCCGTGATTGAATGATTCAAAGCATGACTGATCATGAGAGAGCCTCAACCGGGATCCCAGACCGCGAACTGTGGTTCCTAGCGTCGGCCGTGTGTGTACCCTCTGTTGCTAGTTGGTTCTGTGCCACGGAAGGCGTACGCGTCAGTTGGGCCAGTACGGATACCAGAAGGGACTGAGTGGAGACCTGAGCGGTTCTTACTGTGAAGAAATCAACAACAACAACAACAACAACAACAACAACAACCACAACAACAATTGCTGCGGTTGCACGCACGCTTTTGGCTTTTGATGGACCCATACCTAATCCGACAACGTTTCGCCACGCCACCACTGCTGTTGCCCACGGGCCATTGGCTTTCGATAGAACGTTACTGTGATTGTAAGAAGACTCAATCCTCATTCGGCAGCGTTTTGCCGGCCCACCGCTGCTATTGCCCTCAGGCTGTTTCGATAGAATGTTACTGCGACAAGAAGACTCAAACCTCATTTGGCAGCGTTCTGCCGCACCGCCGCTGTTACCCGCAGGCCATCGAGGCTTCAACCCAGAGCCCCGTCCCGGAAGTCAGGAAGCCCGCCGAGCAGCTGCTCAAAGCTTGCGAAGAACTTCCCGGGTACACCTCCGTGCTAGCCGCCATCGCCACAACACACGCCGCACCGACGGACGCTAGAGCCACGGCCGTTATCCTGCTCAAGAACATGGTCAGGGTTCGGTGGAGGTCGAGGGGCGGTAGGGGGGCTGTGGTTGGGGACAGGGAGAAGGCGGCGCTGCGAGAGGTCCTGGCTGGTGCTGGCATGGAGGAGCCGGAAGAGCGGGTGGTCTCGCAGGTACTGCTGTGTCGAGGGAGTTGTTGGAATACAAGCACGCTAAGTCTACTTTGTAGTCCTCGGAGAGCCTCTGCACTCACTAGCGTTTCGCTGAACGCACTTGGCTCTGTTGACAGACCTCGTGTTGGGGCAAAACTCACTCGAGTGAGACCTGTGGGGCATCGCTCGAAACAGGGCAGTGACTAGTTGCTTTGGCGACGTCTGACGGCGTCACCTCGCCATCTACGCAAGTGTTTCCCGAGAATACCTACCGCGTTCTTTTCTCTCACAGGCCTCCGTCTGTGTTGTGTCCATCCATCCGTTTGTCTGTGTTGCTTTTGCTATCGCTTTAGAAGCCGAAATCAAGCCATTGGTCTAGTCAGCGCTGACTAGTCTAATGCTCTGATGTCGGCTTCACGCCTCCATTTGTCTGTATTATCTCTCACCCCTCCGCCCACCAAAGTCACCCCGGTTTCTTTCTCCGTGTGATTGTTTTGTCGAACAGCTGGCCGTCCTCATGGGCAAGATTGCGAGGGTGGATTGGCCGGGGCAATGGCCGCAGCTCTTCCCTAACCTGGTGGCCTCTCTTGTGTCGGGCATTCCCCGCCGACAGAGGATGTCCCTGTGCGGCACCAACGAAGTGAGAACCCAGCGAGAATTGATCGTTGTTGTTGTTGTTGTTGTTGTTGTTGTTGTTGTTGTTGTTGTTGTTGTTGTTGTGTTGTTGTTGTTGCTATTGTTGCTATTGTTGCTATTGTTGCCTTCACATTAAGGAAGCTGTTCCGGTCTCCGCTCAGTAACTTGTGATATCCGTACTGGTCCAACTCTGCCGGCATTTATTCGAATCGCTTCTTCTTCAGCACCCCCCTCTCTATTGACACATTTCGAACGTTCCTTGGCGTCTGTCGGAGCAACCTCACGCTTTCACCGTACCTGTTATTCACGCCCCGTTCACCACCGTGGTAACAAACCCCGCAGAGCCAACCGAGCCCGTTGGGTAGCCCCTGTTCGTTGGGTACCCCTTGCAGTAGCTTCGAGCCGCGGCACAACTCCTGCTGCAGGTGCCCCTGATGGAATGTTCGTTTTGCTGCTGCACGCCAAGCATTGCGTTCTTGTCGTCGTTTCCCGTCGTTTGTAAACGCCAAGCATTGTCCTCCATCTCGCCCAACGCAATTCGAGAGATCGTCGGTCAGAAAGCAGCCAAAGCGGCTACCGAAGCTTGCCAAACCCTGGTCCCTATCTCTCCTTCGGCCAAACTCCAAGGGGGTTTGCTGCGAGACAAACCTTCACTCTCTCAGAGCCATCCTCGCCTTTGCCACAACCCCAACCTTGCAACCAATGTTGGAATTCCACCCTACAACCAGGTGCTGAAAGAGCTTTCAATGAAAAGGATTGGGTTCGACAAGGCCTCCTTCATCAAGACATCGGTCGATCTCCTTCCGGTGCTGTGTCAAGCTTGGGACAGCCAGTGGGCGATAATAGAGGGCCTCTTGCCGTCGGTAGCGGCGGGAAACGTTCCTGTCCCTGGTGGCTCTGACGGGGCGACGGCGGCCGTAGAGGCTGTCTCGCTGGGTACCGTTTGCATAAAGGTGGGTTGGGATAGTTCCACCCTTCGTTCCCAAGTACACTACCTTGTTGTGAACGAGCTGCTGATGACAAGTGTATCAAGTCATCCCTTTCCCCATGAACAAATAAGTGCTACGGTATTCATACCCCGATACGATATATTTGCCCTGTGAGGCACTACGCATGATTTCAATTTATACCTCTCGGTGTAGCATTCTGTTTGCCGTGAATAGGTCGTGCCCAAGCGACGACTTCGATTTTGAAAGAGAGAAAGGAGGTGCCGCCTCCGCGATGCCGACGACTGTTCAGGTTTTTCGTAGATGTCCAAAGGTGACGCTGCTGTTTCTATTTTGTGTTCTCGCAAATGCGGTCAACATGAGGAGGTGAGGTCGATTCTTCTTGAATTTCTTGGGTGTGCTTTCATCCGTTGCACGCGTTGTATCCCTCACACCCCCCGATATGAACACATCGGGTTGTTCGCATGCGAGGTGAAAGATTAAATCAAGTGCCACTGTCCCATGTTGTGCCGCCGGAAGAAGTGCTTCATGCATCCCCACATCCCCACTTCATGTTGAGGGAAGGGTTGCAGGCCTAAGAGCGCTCGTCGCTGGATCGATGAATTTCCCTGTGCCTGAACTGAACTCACAGCTTTTCCTGTAAAGTTGGTTCCTGCTCCCTGAAGGGCCGCCTCGATGTCGAAGCCGTGGACCTACCACCATATTGCCACGGGAACGACTTCACAGCACCCTTTACAGATCATACAGCGGCTTTCGCAGCTGAGGATCTCACCCACACTAAGGATCTCTCAACCAAACTTTTACTCTAGTCTACAGCCCGACTCTCGTTCTAACCTCTTCCATAGATAATTCGCCCGCCTATTCAACTGACAGTTGGATCTCACCCAAGATCATCCTCTTCTCCTACTCTCCCTGCTGGTACTACTTGCCACAGATAATACGGCGGCTTTTGCAGTTCGGGATTCCCGGGTTAGACCACCCTAGCATAGAGCTCCTGTTTTCGGGCCTGCTACACCGGATGCAGAGCGTGGTGGCAGCCCTAGAGCAGCACCAGGCCAAGGCGAGAGCTGCATTAAACCCCAACTTAGGCGGGGGCAAGGAGGAGCGGGAGGCGGTATTCTTGGGCGAGCTGCAAGAGCTGGCGGAGCGGATGGCCTGCACGGCCGTCGACGCGCAGAAGGATCATCCCATTGGCTTTCGGAGGTACAGCTAGCGGCAAGAACTTGGGTTATAGCAAAAAATCAGGCTCCAACAAAAGATATGGTAATATTTAGGAACTTGGTCATAAGAGCAGTCAAGAGATCAACACTAATACCCATATTGTCGCCGAGGGGGTACTGTACCCCATAGACAATATACGAAGTAAGAAACTGCATGCAAAAAATTAATCGAAGTGTAGATGTCTGATTGAAATCCACATTTAGGTGGGCTGTTCCACCTGTCGTTCTTCTGACATTCTCCATCGTTTATGTCATTGGACTTAACGTGGTGTCCCTGTCGAGTTCTAAGGTGGCGGAGCTGTGTTGATTTTTCGGTGACAGCACTTGACACGGCTGCATTTCGTGGCTTGTTTCGAGCGGCACCGGCTGAGCATTCCACCCTGATACTTTTTTCAAAAGGTTCCATGCGACGCAGTGAAACAGGGAAAGTGTTGGTTGTGCCATTCTCCACTCTTGACGTGTGATTCACTCTGACTCTGACGTGGAGTCACTCTTCGGCATGAGCAGTCGGCACAGCATGTCGATGTAGTTGACTTGGTTCATGGCACATGATGTGTCATGTGCAGCAGTGTTTCATGCATCATTTTCCATGTGCGCTCTTCATGTATAATTCACTGATCATGTGTGATTTACACGCGTGGTTCACTGTTAATCTGTGATTCACTTTTCGCTTGTAATTCACACGTGTGATTCGCTGTTGACGTGTGAAAGTCATTCTTGGCATGATCTCCGTTTCTGTTGGGGCTAAGTTGGGGATTGTGGGTCAGGCTGTGGTCAGAACAGGGCTGCAGGTGAATGTCAGGAAGCGCATGGAAGTTGGTGATCAAGATGACAGAAATAGAGCGGATGGTCGCGGCGATAATTGCTGTGAGAGTGAATGCCCTTAAGTATATCAGTAACGACGGTGGGGCTCCTCATGAAGCTTCGAATTGACGTCTGTGTCTGTGATTTCAAGCTAGTTACCGCTATTCGCTTAGCCTCCTGGTCTATCGCCCCCCCTCCTCCAGCCCCTGATCATTTCCTTATTGCGAACTTGTGTGAAAATCGACCAACACGATTTCCAGGTATCTTTCGGCGTACCTGTCGTTCTTCTGCGAGCAACTGTCCGCCATGGTCCGGTCCCGGGTGACTTGCCCGTCCAAGGGAGTAGGAGGAAAGGGAGCGGGTGTGGGTGCGGTTGCCGGGGGAGGGTTGTGGCGGGAGGCGCCTGAGACGTTCGGGGGCGTGGTGGACCCGCAGTCGATTGGACCGTTCTGCATTCAGTGCATGTCCTTTGTCGCGAACGTCGTCAGCTGCTCTAGCTACCGGGAGGAGGTCCTTCAGAAGGTACGGCAGTACTGCTGTGTATGGTACCTGTTTTAGGTGTTGTCCACAAGGTACAGCAGTATCGCTGTCTGCCTTTGAAATGCAACTCAACACTTGCTTGTTGCGGTTGTTGCTGCTTCACAACAAGAACCGTTCCGGTCTCCGCTCATGACCTTCTAATATCCGTACCAGTCCACGTGACGCTGTATTCCCCGTTTTTGAAATTATCCAGCAGGTACAACTGTGCTGAATACCTTTGAAATACAGCTCTACAACTGCTGTTTGTTATTGTTGTTCTGACAATTAAAACCGTTCCGGTCTCAGCTCATTACCTTCCAATGCCCGTATTTGTCCAACTGACGCGGACACCTTCCGTGGTCATTAACCAAGTACTACCCAGAGGGGGTACTCCTTGATAGGACGAAATGATGAAAATGGACCCAGAAAAGAACTGCCCAAAACGCAGTACTAGCATAGCACCAAGAATAATACTAGCATAGCACCAAGAAAAGTGCTAGAAAAGCACCAAGCAAAGTGCTAGCATAGCACCAAGGTACTAGCATAGCACCAGGAAAAGTGTAACAGGGAAAGGAAGAACAGGGAGCAGGATGTGCAGTTATTATTCTTTAGGTCTTATTAGCGGGTTTGAGCCGAAGCGATGGGCCCCATGCTGCTCATGACCCCTGTGAGATCGAGACCTATCAATAGAAATACTATTTTTGTGTTGTGTGGGCGTGATGATTTTCCGACCGGCCGGAGAAATCGTTCACTGGAAACCCGATCGATATCGCGGGGGAAGAGGAATCGATTAGGCAGCAATTGCGTTTCCGTGTTGAGTCTCGGTTTTTCTCCTGGTCCTTACGCCGTTTCTCTAGCATCTGCTGGTAGATATGGTATATTATGTCCAGGTATATGGCGGATATGGTAGATATCCCGCGATCGTGACCGCGGTTTGTCTTCTTTCTGATGGACCATCACGGAAGGGAGATTCTCTCTCGATCGTGATGCCACAGCGTGACCAAGCAGAACATTGATTGCCGCGTCGCCTCGTCACGTCAAGGCTATCGCAGCGGCTACTGCAACACAGGGATGTGTGGCTCCGGTTGAGGCTAGACGTCCAGGGGCCGGGAGGATCATTACCGGCAGGGGTGACGCCATCATCACTGCAGGTACCCGAGTTTGAGCGCGATTCACAGGTCGCGGTAAAGCCACTTTCCACGTGGTGCGGTTATTTGCTCACGGCATGCAGGCGTGAACTTACAGCCCTGCATGCCCTGATTATGCTGAGTGCGTTGTGCCGATGGTGGCCTTGGGCAGTGAGAGCTTAAGCGCTTCTCGTGCCGCACACTTTTTGTGCGCAGTTCGGTAATTCTGGGTGGTGTTGCCCGATGATGAACGAAGGCATAACCAACCTTGTCTTTTGCTCTTTATTTTCCGACTGATGTACTGTGTCCCTAACCTCACATCGACGGCGGCCCCGGCGAAGCACAGAAGGGTTTTTCAACAACCCTCTCCTCGTGATTAGATAAGACCGCTGTTCAATGCGGAGGTTTGGGCAGAGATTGACTAGTGCCCATGCATGAGGTTCTGAAGATCGCGTCGAGGCAGGGCAAGTCCTTTTCCTCGTCGCGATTTATTATATTCTCCGATCCGTGCTGTTTATTTTATTGTTTTTCAAAGGTTGTTGGTGTGTTAAAGTGCGCAATGCATATGTAATCAAAGAGCTCCAGTGGCCCATCATCTATCGTCATGCCACACCAGACGTTTTTTGCCCCGTTATTGTGTTCTGATTCCGAGCGGCAGCGGCGCAGCACGGAGTCGTTTTTTGGTTATGTTTTGTTGTGTTCCGAACTTCCCGCGGCGAAACGACTATACCTGAAAGGCAGCTCATGGCCAGGTCGGCATGGTTGATGCAAACTCGCCCGCGATATCGATGCACGATTCGCATCCCTGGAGCAGGCTCAAACATACAAACTTCGAAGCAAGGTTGACGGATTACAACTCTTACCACTTCCATCGTGTAGTTCGTGTGGGTGTCTGTGTCGCATGCTCCCGGGAGTCTTAACAGCAGAGCTACATGCTCGGTGTAGTATCTCACGCAGACCAACCTTCTGAGCATTAATGAGCAGGGCAGGACCAAGCGGAACCTGACTTTCCTGGCCCGACGCCTTTGGGTTGATGCCGTCTTTTTTTTATCCTCGTCCTCGTGAGCCTGACCCGCCAACCACACGGGACTGCTGCCCTGGCAGATATTGCGCGCGAGATCTCATCTGTGATGATGGACTTCTTCACCAAGGAACGGCGAGTATTTCGTCCCTTCCAAGACCTTGGCCCTCTGTTTGCTTCGGGTCAGGGTTAGGTTGAGGTTAGGGTTAGGGTTGGACTCACCCTAAGCCCGAAGTTGTTTTTTCTTGGCACAATAATCCTAAACTTCGTCTTGCTCTTCCGCGGTGCCATGAAGAATATTCTTCCTCAGGTCCTATTGTTTTTGCGCATGGCACATTTTGCTGGGAAGGGCAAAGGGTTACAAAGCTAGCTCTGTTTGGGAAGCCCAAGCAGCCGTGTGCTCCGCTTTGATTCGTCGAGTAGGGCCTGATTTTTAATGCTGCTCACCTCAGGATGAGCCGTTTATGCTGTTGTTTACCCTGTTTTGGCGTGATGTATCACATGCTCAGGCTTTCACCCCTCCCGCTGGGATTGCGGAACCTACATGGATGAATTTTATCATTTTTGCTTGTATTATTTTCGTGGTATTCACCCTCTTTCCCTCTTTCCCTATTGTCCTCTTTTCCTTGTTGTATCGGTCCTTTCGCAGGACCCTTAGCCTCGGATTACACCGCTGTACCGTGTCCGCTTGCTTCGATTTCCCCGTCCTTCGCTGATTAACATCGTTCCCCCCGATTGATGCTTCGAATAGCGTACAAGTCATGACCTTCCTTGCCCCATCCCATTCCCTATCCCCGTGCTTGAATTTTGCTTGCCCTCTGCGTGATGGTGTCCCAGGGTGGAGGCGCTGTTGGGCCTGCTTCTCGAGGGGTATTTGCCATTGACGCCGGCAGAGCTGGGGGACTGGGAAGACCAGCCGGAGGACTACTACCTCCTGCAGGATAGCATGGAGGCCAGAGAGAGTGTCAGGGTGAGGGAGTGCATAATGGCATGAGAGAGTGCTCGGTTGAGGGACTGCAGAGTAGCATGAGAGAGTGTTGGGGTGTGGCAGTCCAGGATAGCATGGAGGCCAGGGAAAGTGTTAGGGTGACAGGGCAGATCGACATCGCACTGTATTGAAGACGTTTGGTTTTATGGGAGCGCGGCGGAAGCATCAAAATCACGGCCAGCACAAAGAACTCTTAGACGTGTCTCCACACGAGCCAGCAGGATGGTAGCAACATTTGGCCGCAGTTTCTGGATGTACTAGATGAACCGTCGACGAGGGAGCAGGCAGAATATGAGGAACACATCCGTTTCGTTCTTTTTGCGTACAACGGCAGCAGAGCGCACTTCGGTGATGCAAGGCTGAGGCCACAGGGTGATGCACAGCCACTGTGTTGAGTCACCATTGATCGTGAGTCGCTGCCAGAACAGCGCCATTCTGCGTGAAGGGGCGCTTGATTTGATAGCTATTGTATTGTCGAACGCACTACTCCGTTCTTGTATCGTTGTTCCATTCTGCGGGGGTTGTACACCACCGCCGATTCTAAAAGCGCTGAGAGTAGGTCGATTTTCCGAGAGTTCAAACCTCTAGCACCACGCGTACAGCAGTGAGGTACGTCAGTTTACTCGAGAGGTCAGACCCGAGCACAACGTGTCCAGCAGTACGGGCGTTGTGGGAAAAGTTCGGTGTTGGACGTGACGTCGTTATCATCAACAACAGCTACAACAACAATAGCAGCATTAGTAGCAGCAGCAGCAGCAGCTACTTTTACGCCCTGTTTTGGTGAGTGGCGCTACCCATGCTTAGCGTAACGGCTCGTGTGGTTGCCTGATTGCCTGGTCCCGTGAAACAACCAACCGTTGTAGGTGAGCGCGCAGCAAGTCTACATGGCTTTGCTCGAGGCGAGCGGCAACAACGTGGGTGGCGTCCTCGCTGCGGCAGTCGCCAACATGCTGTCGCAGGGCGTTCAAGAACAGATCGAGACTTGCCGGCAAACTGCCATTAGGTGCGGCCAGCGAATACGCGTCGCGAAGTTAGTCTGACCGACAGCTCAATAGCGGCATGTACAACTTTCCCTCATACCTTTCGCTTTTACATGTTTGGTGTTTCAATATGCAAACCTTTTCGACGTTTTGTTGCGTGTGTGTTGCTAACCGCACTACGGTCTCGTGATCGGTTTGCCTTTTAAGCAGTCGTATCCGCCGCTGAACTGCTGTCCTCACTTCTCGACCAATCGAACCATACCGCAGCCCTCAAGTGCTGGCGTGCGACGCCTTGTACCTGTGTGCCGGTCTGGGTGCCTACACCGTCAAGGAGCATTTCGACTTCCAGGCGTGGTTTCAGGCGTTTCTAGGGCCGGCGCTCGAAGCGCTTGTGGCGACAATGCAAGCCAGAGCGCTGCAGGTGAGCGGAGGAGAGGAGTCTGGTTTACGCAGGAGTATTATTGTGGGCGAGGTGTCCGGAAAAACGTCCATCTCCTACCTCCTACATCTATATCGTGGTTGTGGGTCTTGACTCCCTCCCCCCCCCCGTGTGGAAGTGTCGAGCGGTGGGAGTCGGACCGGGTCGCACGTGACCAGCTACCTTTGGACGTTACGTGACTACAGAAAGGAAAACCGAGTGAAGATTCCCTATTTTCGCGATACCGTTTTTTTTTTTTTTTTTCAAGCTCTGGGGTGCATATTTTTCGTAACCAGACGTAGGTGCGTATTTGACCCAATGGTGCGAAATTGCACGGGACGCTACATGAGCATAGAAGTCAACAACGTGTAAAGGTTCCGATTGTGGAGATGAAGTCGCTCGTCGTTTTTATCAAGGGCCGATCCGCATCGCTGGTACCGAGGATGCTAACGGCCTACTTTTCTTGCTGAACGACGCCTACGGTTACAATATCTCGATACATGAGAATGAGTTCCTTCGTCACGCTTGTTCCGATCACGAGTTTTTCGTGGGACGAAGAACTTCTGAAGCGTTTTGTTCGTTCGGATGCCCTTCCAAGCTGTCGCCCAATTCACCGCTGCTGTGAGATTGACATCCGGTCCGTTGCGGCCCGTCTTCCCTCCTGATCTGCGCTGGACACGATTCTTTGAAGACACCTGCCACACCGGGCTCCTGCGGCCCTATGATCCTGTTGCGGCGATTGATGTGGCTGCTAGGCTGTTGGGCGGAGCAAATACCTGCATCTCTCCGCCCGGCTCTCGTGCAGGCAACGGCGAACGTCATGAAGGTATGGTGAGGGTTAGGAACGGCGGCATGTGGGATGTTCGGCGCGCACCCGTCGGCGGATGTGCAGTTTTTGAGCTGCGATGGGTGGCCTTGCTATGAAGACTGGGAGGGAGAAAAAATAGAGTATGACGAGAGTTGGATAAGGCTTTGCGGTTAAGGCGGCTGGTAGTTGAGTAAGCGCAGGTTGGTGAAGGGTAGGACTGGCACATGAGTATCATTCGAGGTGTACAGGTAAACACTTGTCACAAGGCTTGGCGTGGCTGCACTCGGCTTGATGAAAGAATGCCGCCGCACGACTATCAGGGTTCGCGAATGCAGAGGAGAGCTTAGGGTGGTGATGAAGATCGATTCTGTACACGGAGAAGCGAAATACAGTCGAGGGACCCTTTTAGTGCCGGTACGTGCACAGAGCGTTCACCGGCACTAAATCGGGCACCCGGCACTATTGCGAATAGTGCCAAAACGGCACTATTGAGGGCTGGCCAATCCCTCATTAGTGCCGGTACCGGCACTAATGAGGTTGTGTTCGATTTATGGTGTAGCGCCCACGCTTACGGGGCCAACAAAGAACGAAATGGATCGACACTATTACTGTACTGTTGAGTGAAGTTCCAGCATGGGCGTGGGCAGAGTTGAGTTTTCTTTTTGTTGTCTTGGGGCGCTCTTTGGTTCTTCATTTTCTTCTGCACCTCACTTATTTGCTTATTTGTGTACTGTCGTCGGGACAAATTCTCTCCTGTTTGCCTGGCGCACCCGCTTCGATGTTGCAAGAAAAAAAAAATGACATGCACGACGGGCAGCGCACCGCAAAAATCAAACAACCGTTTTTTTAGTGCCACAGCTGTTCCCCGCCCTTACTCCGTAGCAACAAACTCCCTCATGTCTGCCTGGCGCACCCGCCTCTTGGAATGCGCTGCAATCATCGCCATCTTCGCTTTCGCTAGGTAGAGCGCCGCGTCTCCATTGCCGCTCTCCTCTGCTGCCGCTTCCAGGACGCCGAAGTGAGACGACAGTTCACCATAAGCCGGTGGGACACGGCGCGCGAGCCCCGTGTTGTCATCGCCGCTGTCCTCCTCCTCGTCCTCCTCCTCGCGGCCGGTAGACACTCGAGTCCCAGCCAGCTGTGCCGTCATGTCTTCCACCGTATCCTCTCTGAGAGCCTCAACCACTTCATCGTCGTCCTCGATGGTAGCCCACCCTTGAATCGCGTTCACCGCTTCCTCCAGGAGCGGCTTTCCGGGTTCGATGCGGAGTTCGGCGATGAGTTCGGCGATGTCCTCGTCCTCGATTTGGGTACCCTGCTTGTGCGCCTCGTGCACGCTCGTGCTCAACGTGTTGAGAGTCTCCGTGAGAGCCTTCAAGGTAGGCTCGGCGACGTGGAACTGGGACTTTCCGTATTGCTTGGTGAGCTCAGCGGCCATCTCGTCCGGAAGAGTCTCGGCTTTGACAAAGCACCTGATCCCAGGTAGCGCAGAAAATGTCATGCATACGTTTGTGGGTGGACAACAAGCGGATGTTAGATGAACCCAGGGACGATCAAAGACTCATAGGCGGGGGAGGACTCAAGTTTTTGCGAAAAGCAAAGAAGATATGTATTCGGATGTTGGAAAACTCAGTCGAAAACAATATAATCTATCCGTACAACCTTACCCACGTTACCTTTGTACCACCAAAGCTATGTGCACCAAGGCGCGAGTTGAACAGTTTACATTATAAACAGCGATTGCACATGCTCAAACCTCACCTGGCGATGTCCTGGGCGGTGACGCTGGCCCATGCTTTCTGGAGAAGTTCAGCGGCATCCCGCACGTGAGGTTGGTGCCCTTGCGCCAGCCCCATTGTCCCGGCCTTCATTTTGCGAGCTTTGGCCTCGGCACGAAGGGTGTCAGCCACCAACATGGTCGATGTCTTCACATCGAGCAGCTCCTTCCTGTAGTTGCACTTTGTCTCGGCGATGATCCCCAGATCCATAGGCTGGTGTACGGAGGTGCAGTTTGGAGGGTAGAACTTGATGGTAACTTGCCCCCGATCATCCACTAGATCACCGTGAGAAGCACAGCCGTCCATCAGAAGCAGCACAGGTTCGTGAGTGAAGCGCCGAACGAACGGGAGGAAGACCTCACACCACCACTTGCGGAAAGTCGCGGTGTCGGACCAGGCGTTGGCCTTCGAGAAGTACTTGAGAGGTGAAGGCGTGTCGTTGAAGCAGCGGGGACCCTTTGCCTTCCCGATGATGGACATGTCAACCTTTGCAGTGCCGTCGGCATTGGCGCACATGATGGCAGACAGTCGATCCTTGAAGAACATGCCCTTGGAGCCCCGCGCCGTCTTCCGATCCTCCAAGTTGGAGAGGTACGTGCGCCTGGGCATGAGCTTCCACTGGAGGCCTGTCTCGTCGACGTTAAAGATGAGCCTAGCCGGGTACTTTGCGCAAAGGGCCTTGAGTTCCTCCATGGCTTCCTTGATGGCCTCCTTGTTGACGCTACCAGCCTCGCCATGAAGTCTCACGCTGTCGATGCTGTTGCGCTTCACGAAGTTCCTGGCCCACCTTTCGCCGGCCTTGAAATCCTCGACCCTCGCCTTCACTTCCTTAGAAGCTGCTGGATCAGCCAGCAGGGTTGCCCTGGCGGCACGGCCGAAGCTTCGAAGGACGTCGCGCGTGACGGGCATCTTGGTCTTCCGGGCTTTCTCTAGTAGGTCAAGAGCTATGGCGTCCACCTATTGACCGTCAAACGAGGAGTAAACAATAAAGAGGGTACAAAAGATAGCACGATTAGTTTCGAACATTAAGCCTCGTTGCACAGTGCATCGTAGTGGGAAGGAAACATTTCCGGGCATTTGAAAAACCACAGAAGCTCGCCGCTGCATCCGCATGTGTATTTATGTATTGTAACTCGTTTGAAAGAATAGGTGTGCGTGCGATGTAATGTACCAGTACAGTACAAACAAGTACACATTTTTGGTTCGCAGTTTATATGCTGGCGCAGCAGCGCACGAACGATAAAACAACAAAGAAAGTTGAAAAAAAAGGTAACACAAAAAAAGACACAAACGAACGACGAGAGGGAATAAGCTCAACAAGTACTGTAACAGTCGAGAAATAGAAGAAACATGGGGAAAGGGAACAGAGAACAGGGAACAACTTGACAAGAGAAGAAGAAAAAAGAACAAGAACATCAGATAGACGAACAAGGCTACAGAAAAAGGTCCTTGCAAAAACGAAAACTCTTTGCAAACAAGGCCCGGCAAAAAAAAAAAGGCAAAGAAGGCGCGGGAACTACGCGTATTTTTTTAAAACAACAGCAGAGTAGCGCACCTCCGGATTATTGCCTGTGCGCACGTTTTTCTTGCTTCCTCCGCGTCCTGCAGCAGCCTCGGTCTCGTACTTCTTCCTGTTCTTCTTCACATCCCGGACCAACCGTTCCGAGCACTTGAAGCGATCTGCTAGCTGCTCATGAGTCACCTTCTGATCCATCAGCTTCAGCATCTCACACTTGGCGCTGAAATCTGGCCGCGCACGAGGCTGAGACTTGTTACTCCCCCCATTCGTGGCCTTCGGACGTTTAGATTGTGCCTTCCCAGTGCTGTCTGCTGCTGACACTTTGCGCTTGCCGGCTTTGGCGACGCACGCGCTGCAGATGCGGTGATTCTCGTTGCCTACATCAACCACACTGCCGCAAATGCCGTGCAGTCGCCCGCCACATCCTCCCTGGCAGCCGTGACCATGAGGGTCTTGCGGCGTGGTGTCCTGTAGTTGGCACAGTTCACCTTCCGCACAGGGCATGGTACGCCCCTGTGTAGAGCTGTTCGGGTCTGCAGCAGCACGTGTACCCTATTTCTGTGTGTGGAGTCTATGTTTTCTGCCCTGGGTTGTGCGTGTGTGTGTTTCGCGCGTGCGGAGTACCGGCACTATTGGGGGTGACAGCAGTGCCGAACCGGCACTATATCGGGCATGCTTTAATTAGTGCCGGTCTGGCACCATTGAGAGCTCCGCCTGTGTGCAGAGATTTTACCGGCACTATACCGGGCATCTGGCACTATTCAACCGGCACTAAAAGGGTCCCTCGACTGTACCCCTTGTTTTCGTTGGGATGTGTTTTCGTTGTGTTAGCTGTGCTCCACGCCGGTAGGACGGCTGCTACAAGCTATATCCCTCACAAGCAGAAAGTAGCTCATCTTTGGCCACGGCAGACCCTTTCTCGTCGTTGCGGACGCGTGTTTAGTCTCAAAGCCATCAACGAATTTTTCAAACGCCAAGCCTGAACCCGTCTGGCATCCGATACGACTTCTGAAAGAATGGTAATTCTCTCATCATCTTGCCGCAACCGTTCTCTCGGGAGATAATTTTCTACCCACACCTTCGCCACGGCATCCCTTTGTTACAGGCAACAGAGGCCGACATGGTGATTCGACTGTCAGCCCTCAGCGCGCTCCGCAGCTTGCTTTCCCTGTGGGATCTCGACCCCGAGCAGTGCCTAGCGCCGGCACTTGGGTGGCTGGTGCCTGCTTTGTACGCCATGTTCAAAGATGTCAGGGAAATGGACAATCGTCAGGAGGTAAGGTTCAGCTTCAGTTGTCTGTGTCTAACCCATTACAGCTTTCATGGCAGCGAATGCATGGATGTCTCGAGTATCGATGTCTAGCCCATGACCGCTTTCACGGGGGTGTCTAGCCCATGGCTCTTGTGACTGTCTATGTCTAGCCTATCTACAACAGGTTTCGTAGCAGTTAATGCTGGGTGTCTTGAGTGTTTCTTTCTATCCCAAGTACCAGAACAGCTTTCACAGCGGTGAATGCATGGTTGCCTTGACTGTTTACGTCTATGGCATTTCACAGGAGTGAATACATGGGTGTGAGTTGGCTATGTCTAACCCATGTAACATGGGAGCTTTCACAGCAGTTAATGCAGTGCTTACATAAAAAATTGCTCAGTTTCGATGAGCCGCAACTCAGGCCCCGGTCCTCACTGTAATACGCCAAACACGATGCACTCTTCCACCTAGGTTTTGACCGTAATGTCGGAGATGCTGGAGAGATCGGGACGGCTGCTCGTGCCTCACTGCCAGGCTGCAGTGGCTGGGCTGCCCGATGTGTGGAGTGCCACCTCGTCTCAGACACCGCTAAGATGCTCCTGCCTTCAGGTGATGTCAACCACCCGTACCATTTAACAACACAACAACAACCTACCGTAGTTGACATGACACAAGATACCACACCCCCTGGACCGCCTTGGATAGCTCGATTTCTTCGCACCATAAAGAGTGTCGGTGCCGAAGTAAGGCGGCGTTGGCACCATCTCTTACAGAGCTTTTCGGAAGACGCATCTTTTGATCTGGACACCTTCTCCTTTGTGGGGAAGTCGAGCTTTGACCATCGGTCCGGGGTGTGCGGTGTCTGGTGTCATGTCACCTACGGTAGCCCTACCCCTATGCCCTACCTTCACCCTAAGGATGCCTGACCCCTGCAGTAGTATCGAGGGGTCGAGCACCCTTTCGCACGAGCACGTGGTCGCGCCTGTTGCGAATTTCAGCAAGTAATGGTGGAAAGGGAGCATGGGGGCCCAACGTAAGCCTTCATTTACTTGTGCCACGGTATTGCCGGCACACCTTGGACATACATACAGTTGCATTGCATCGATCGGCCCGGGAGAAAAGTAGTGTCCGACGCTAGGCGCTGTGACCAGCGGACAAGCTGGCCGTGCGGATTGATGCATGTACAACTATTGTGTGCGGGCGTTTCAATTCATCAATCAGCGAATCGGTTGTGTCGCAGACAGTACGTTGGAGGCACCCAGTCCCCGCAGCAGCCTCGTTGGTCGTAAAGAAATCGGACTATGCATATTATCATTCCAAAAGGGTTTTGGTGTTCATCGTCACGAATAGTCGTCTGGTGCTTCAATCCGCTCGTGGATATCGACGTTGGTGTTTGCACTCGCCGAGACTAGAAGCGTTAGAAGCCTGACGCGCCTCATAAGTCTGATATTTTTTTCTGTGGTGCTCTTGTGATGTTGCAGCCGTCTTGTAGCAGGTCGCTCTAGCGATAATTTTTCAAAGCTTTTGAAGTTGTTTTGCCTGGTTGAAAGCGCCTCTAGAGAGGATGACGTCCAGTTGCCTCTTTTGCCGATTCTTGTGCTTCATTCACGCGTCATTCACGCGAGGTCGACTATGGATGCGGTATGCGACAGGGTACTCGGTGCCCTTAAAGGACGGCGGTCGGAACTTTGCGGTGTTGTGCTCGTTGTGATTTCCCTCCGAGATTTCTTTTGATCCCTGGCTACAGAAGAGTTGTGGGTGTGAGTGAGGTACAGTGTTCATGACTTTCCAGTGCTTTTTCATTGCTGATAACTGCGCATTTGAAGGTGATGACGCACGTGGTCGACGCGCTGGGAAGAGACAAGGGGCCAGACCTTGATCGAATAGCCCTGGCGATGGTGGACGTTTCCACCAAGGTCGGCAGTGATGAAGCGGTGAGTTGCGATGTAGCGCCAATCTAGACTAATTGTTGTCGTCGTCGTCGTCGTCGTCGTCGTCGTCGTCGTCGTCGTCGTCGTCGTCGTCGTTGTCGTTGTCTTCCCGTTTGTAAACCGCTCCGATTTTTCAATCTAGAACCTTCTTCTATCCGTACTCATCTAGCACTTGACGCTGACGATTTCCGTGGTCATAGGCTGCCATGAACCTGTTGGACAAAGAAATGTATGGCCTGTTCGCTGTTAATCCGGACTTTTGTCGAGCGTTCTGGCAGTGCAACAATGCGCCTCTGTGGTTGTGGCCATGCTCACTTTTTGGAGGTAGATTATGGAGTGCGTGGAGCCGCCATGAGATTCAAACCACCAGGCGCTTTTGCGACGGTGGAAAAGCAGTAGGATAAGCATTGTTTATGGCATCGTCTAGTCGTGCAATGATATAAATTTTTCGTTATTTGTGAAGTCATCCGTGACATCGTCGAAACAATCATTGCTCGGTCAGATTTACCTCATGGAGACGGGTCTGGGGCTTTGGCTGGCGCTGTTGAGACACGCCACGGACTACAGCGAAGGTTTACACAACCTCTTCCCGCGAATCCCCGAGATGCTCGACACAGACCTCGACAACCTCAAGCAGGTGCAATGAATATGAACATCGGGAAAGCGACATGCAGTGGCTGTGGAGATGGTTTGGTGGGAGACATGGCACAAGTAGTGTCATGTCCTGCCTGGCTTCTCGGAGTGGTTTGTGGTGTGCCTAGCCCGGAAGTAGTGTGGTGGCCTGTGTGGTATGCATGCATGTCGGCGTTTGATTGGTGGGCGGTTGTCTTTGGGAGTTGTTGCCGGGCGTGAATGTTCTGTGAATACCTATGCCTAAGTGGTAGACCGATGATCACGGACGTTTTTTTTTTTTCACTCTCCCGCTGAGGCTATATTGCCTTTCGATGTCTCAGCGCAGATGCGACGCGGAGACCTGCATCTGGCAAGGCTCACTATTGCGGTACGGAGTATTTCCAGGCATTTATACAGGCCGTGTCGAAGTGTTTCTACTATACATTCTATTCAAGCTACAATCGGCAGACATTGTTCCTGGCCGTCGCTTTTTTCAGTAGTTTGTTTTAAGCGGAGGATGCTGGCTGCTCTGTCCGCACTCCCAACGTGTGGGCGTGCTGTGTTGGTTGAATCGTTCCTTTGTAAATGTTTACAAGGTACAGCAGCCAGTGCCTTGGATTTCACTCCTTGTGAAGCTTGCCAAGCTCGACTAACGTTTTTCTCTCCTTGCATTCGTACAAGGTTTGTACTTGCTACACAGCTGCTGCCTTGAATACGCGGTTCCACTCTCTCTGCATTCGATTTCGTTTTTGCTCTCTATGTATTCGTACGAAATTCTGGCAGTCGATGCTCATCCTTGAGGCGCACGTGGTGATCGGAGGCACCGTGTTCCTGCAAGCACACGGCCCTCTTGTCTGCACCTGCTTTTGCCGGGTTGTGGGGCAGGCAAGTCAGTCTGTTTGTCATGACAATATCGTTGCGTACCGAACGGCAAGTGTATCCGTAGAACTTCTCTGCAAACCGCAAGTCCGTTATTTTGAACCTTCAAGTACCGCCGGCAAGGTGCCCCTGAAACGTTTTCCAGCGTTTGCCAGTTAGTTAAGTGCATGAGTTAAGCCGAGTAGCAGAAAATCCTTCCACACGCTGAACTACGAGATGGGTATGCTATGGGGGGGTTGGGAGAACAGTGCTAATTTCGGATGCATGTCCTGTAGTTGCGGTTGAGGTCCATGGTTACCGGCGGGTTCTTATCTTCTCGACTCCGTCTTGTGAGGCAGCGTTGTCCATGGCCTGGACAGCGTCATGCTGAGATTATTTCGATGCCGTGTATACTTGCTGCGTTAAGTGCAGCCGCACTGCCTCCTTATCCTTGTAGCATCTCAATCACTTCAAAGGGATGTCTGTCACTGCCGGACGGTTTTGACGTGGTTGCTGCGACGCCGCTCATTTCAGCATCCACGGAACACATTTTTTTTGACACCCCCAATCGTAAGCCTGGATGACGTACTTTGTTGACTCGCCGGTCTCCGTGCCCGTATCCTACAATTCGGGATGACGATCATCTGATGGATCGCACCACGTACCGGCCTCGCCAGGTCAAGCCCAAGGGAGCTGCATTCGTGTCCCGCGCCTTAGAGAGCGTTCTCAGAAAGTTCCCGGTGGAAGCCTCGAGGATGCTGGATGACGGCGGCGTCGTCCGCCAGGTGAGTGAAACGGCGGTTACTCGCGTCATGCACTTGCAACCATTTGGGTATGCATGGGTGAATGTTTTTCAGGCGCGGGTGATACATCTTGCGGATGGCTGTGGTTTCGCTGTGAATCGTAAGCCAGGAGCACTCTGAACATCAGGAATGTATGTGTGGAAAGTGTATCCTTGGCAAAAGCATGCAGGAAGTTTCGAATGGTGACCGTATCACTACTGTGGATGTCATTGATGAAGGGCCGAGGTTTTTTTCAGAGCTCCTGTGTTGCATTAATTGGATGTTTGGCATGGAAATAAGCCAGCTGTGAACATTACCATTTGATTGTAAAATTGAAATCTCGCTTGTCAAGTTAGAAGACGGCGGGGAATAATGGGAACATGAGCATGCCCTCTGACGAAAGCCCTAGATATTATCGGTTTGAGACTAACGCTCAGCTCGGTAAGGTACTGTACTGCTGTAGCGCGTGTGCACCGGCTCTTTCTGTACCTTGACCTGCCGTAGCCTGTGGTCGGCATTGGGGCCGAAACTGGATATTGGATCACGAGGTATGAAATGCTAGGTGACGTTTTTCGAGACGAATCGTGTCTCGCCGACATTCTTAGCCGGATTTCTAGTGTTTTGCACCTCTTTGACCCCTTCTCTTGCCCCCCCCCGTTTAACCTCCATAGGTGGCGGAGGCGTGTTTGGTGGGAGTTAACGACGGCAGTGACAGCTCCAGAGAGCCAGATATCGTCATCGTGCAGCACGTTACCGTTCTCTGCAGGCAAGATTTCTTTTTTTCCCTCCCCACTGTTTTATCCATCTGTGTGACGTGAATGCTTTCACATTGTCGCCTCCTCATTCTATTGCTGGTGTTTTGGTCCGGCTGGGGCTTTACTTTTGGATCCTTCCGACTCGGGATCATGTCGCTTAATTCGGCGTTCACCATGGGCGAGTTTCGCTGTCCACTACCCGAGACCTCAGTAGTATCAGGGGATAGCAGTAATAGAGATTTAATTTTCGATGGCCTGACAAGCTTGTGCAGGGTTAGCTTGTTTTTTCATTGTAAATATGTTGGCATCAGCGTGAGGAGGTCGCTTGTGTGTGTAGTTCGAATCTTGTGTGTTGTCGGCAAGGACGGTTGTTGGTTTACGCTCCGTACGGTTGCGATCCCCCCCCCGGTGTTTGCCATCGGGATTGGGTTTTCGTCGCTTGGCAACGACGTTGTAAAACAAGCCGCCCCCCTCGGTGTTTTCCATCGGGGTTGGGTTTCGTCGCTTGGCAACGACGTTGTACAACAAGCCAATTCACTTCGTGAACTCAACCAAGTTACCGTTTTTTTTTTTTACCTCCGTTTTTTTTTGGCAGTAACCATTATGGTGATCGAGTAGAGCATGTTGTGCGGGGTGGAGAACCCTCACTCCGCGCAAGGGGGATGATCGCACCACGTTGTGTTAATATGTTAAGCACCCTCGAGGCAGTCACACAGTGCTTACAACTGTCTCTGGAAGTGGAAAGCACCAGAAANNNNCCCCCTGGATAGGTGCTTCCCTCGTGTCTCTCACGCACGCGGTACATTTGCGTGAGCATGGAGCTGAACCCCCCTATCCCGAAGTAAAGTTGAACACCTCTACCCCAACGTCACGCATCGGTGCAAGCTGCAATTTTTGATCTTGGTCCTGCGCCAAACTCCACCCACCTCGTTGTATCATCACTTGGTATCATTCATGGATCAGGGTGCTGTTGGGCGCGCCCGCGACGCTGCGCGGGGCTTTGCAGCATCTGGCGGACTCGCACCCGGCAAGGTCCAGGGGACAATACAGCACCAACGGCGGCACTAACCCTACCGCGAACCCGGACTGGCTGCTGGCTGAGCTGGTGACACTTCGACACCGTAGACCCCCTCCACCCCAATCCACCTTTACAATCGCAGATCGATGCGAAGTACTTGTTGGTGCACTGCTGTCTCGTCCGAAACATTTCCTGCGCAGTACCGCGTGTCTCTCCTTCCATAGTGGCCCTGTGTTGCGGCGTCGTGTGCATCGAGAGACATGTTTGTTTGCTGTCATTTGGTTGCGGCATTGCTGATTGATGTAGGCCCGCTGAGGACCTCAGGCTCAGCAAATCTTGTGTTGGAGGGCTGCGGACCATCCCTCAGCTTTCCCCCAGTCTTGTTGCATCGACCGTGCTATTTTCGTCCATTGCTGCTCTTCTGAGCGTTGTCAGCACGTCATCCCTGGTGGGAGTGTCCGCTGACGCCCCCCCTCCCCCCCCTTGGTTCAGTAGTTGGCACTGACGGCACGTCTCTTCTCCTGCACGCCAGCTTGTTCGTGTGGCTGTGCCGCGGCAGCACACCTTGGCGTTCTATTCCGCGCTCCCGTCATTCTTTGTCATCGGGCTCTAGGTTTGACGGCACCGCAAGGAGCTCTAGCGTGTCCCTGACATGCTCGTCACGTCCGTAACATCACGCCCTTGTTTCACGTTCGTTCTGCGTTAGGTTGGGCAAATGACCGCCCTTTTCGACTCCGCCGGGTATAGCGAGGCTGGGGTTTGGAGAAGAAGACTTTGGGCGATGGCTCTCTTGAAACTACTGCCGTCAGCCAACAGCGGGGTCATCAAGAACCTCGATCAGGTACGCTAAACGTGCACCCTGTTGCTCGGTTCCTGTCGATGTCTCCTTGCCTCTTCTTCTCCAACCTGGCTTTTCCGCCAACGTAGGGAGAGAGTCAGAGTTTGTTTCATGGTCAACCACTTTTTGCACCATGAGGTTTATGAGTTTTTTTCCGAATCTCTAAAGGGACGTACAGTGTGCGGCGGCCAGCAAATTGCCAGATCAGCTCGTTTCTTTTGTTTCTTCCGTTTGGATTTTCGAGTCGAGTTTGTGACAAATTTAGCTCAAGGTTCTTATAGTATGGTTTGTGTTGACGTGCTGGGGTGCTCGATGTTTCGGTGCTTGGCGTTAACACTTGGTGCTCATGATGCCGCAGATTGTTAACATCTGCGTGGACGTGCTGACGGAAGAGAGGGAAGATGGAGGAAAGAGACTCAAGGAGAGCCTTGCTCAACCACCCGTAGGTAAGACGAAAATGATTTATGATAATCCCCGACCTTCGTTCCTATGATATTCCAGGATTCAAAAGTAGCGGAGGGGTATGCTGACTATGACCGGAGCCTGTGTGCTGGGTGGTGGACCCTGGACACAGATATGGCCGTGTTTCGCGCGTGTGCACGTTTATCCCAGCGGAGGCTGTGCGAGTTGATCTCACTGCTCAATAGATGGTGCATGCTGGGTGCTGGGCAATCGAGATCTGTGGATGGTCCCGACAACCAAAGAATCGCTTTCCGCTTACCCATGGCCCCGTCCCGCCTTCCTTTTTGCTATCCACTTGTTCTTTTTGTCCATGGTGTCCATTTTGATTTAAGTACATCTTGTTTTGGGTAAGTTAGTCTGTGACAACGGGAATCGCCCGCGTCAAGTGTTAGACTAAAACGGACAGATGAAGGTACTGGGTAGACAGATCGGAACGGTTTTTATTGTGAACACAACAACATGAACAACACCAACAACAGTGTATTCATATATCGTGTGTCGTTGCTCAGGGGAACCGGACAGCGCATCTGCCTCCGAACCAAATCTCCTACAGTCGAGGCTCCTGGAGGCGTTACAAGCCGACGTTGCCGTAACAACGGACTTAAAGGGTCTGGTCAGAGCGAGCATGGATGCTTTGCGGGCGACGCTTGGGGACCAGGGTTGGCAGGTAGCGGTTGAAACGGTCGAACCGGTGGTTTTGAGAGAACTACAGCGAATGGTGGCGTAGCCTATACCGTATTGAAGAACCACCAGATAACAGCTGTGGTGTTAAGTCACATGATTCCTTGCGGTGTGTTCTACCCTATTGTCGATGATTATGTCAACATTTTGGCTGAGACTGGTGAAGGGCGACAGAAAGAAGTGTTTTCTCCCGATGGCTTTTTTTGTCATTCGGGTTCCACATACCGATTGGAGCTAAGTAATATGGTCGTGGTCGCGTTTAGCAGCGCAATCGCGACGACGGTGGTGCAAGCAGCGACGGAGAGAGGCAGTAGCAGAATCTGTTTTCCTTGACGAGCCCAGCCGGATGAGAGCTTGACAAACGAGGAGACCGAAACGTTCTGTTGTAGAACTTCGGGGTGCCAGTTGTTGGTCGCGTAAGGTGTTGTTGGTTTGGTGCTCTGGATTTCTCTCTAGACTACCTAGGCCGTGCTCCGCTGCAGAGCTAATCACGAGTGAAGGACAACCTGTAGGTGCAACACAAGCGGGTGTTCCATTGACCAAGTGTTTGGTGCCGTAACCCTTGCGCGTAACTCTCCAAACGCTGCGAGATCGCTCTTGTGCCGATCACACCCTCGCTCCGTGGAGGCATGCAGTTGCGACATCGACTGACCAACCACAGCAACAGGTCTGTGCGACTGCACCCAAAGCGATCCATGCACGCACGCACGCCTTTTTTACGCCCGAAACTGACACCGGTGAGATTTCTTCATCTACCATCTCCGTTGTGGAAGGAAACTCACCCATGAAACATGAACACAGGTTTGCTGTGGACGCTTCCTACCGGAACCAGTCGAATGACGGCGTAGTCACCCGAACTAGAAGTGTTCGACAGACATAACGCTCAACACAGCGGCTGGTTGTGAGTGTGCAACACAGCAGCAGTAGTGTTACGTACGGCGCGAAGAGGGACAGGAAAAATTGCGTCGTTGTGTAGACATGAACAATGCGAACAATGATATGCATCTGACTGACGATTCTCCGAAGAAAAAGACACGCGGGCTAGGCAAATAAAATGTCGGCCCACCAGCATTCACGATCACTCCACAACCAAGATGCTGCGAAAACCGACCGATGCGTCTACAAGGGAAGTTATCAACCACATCGCAACGGCGGGGATGACTTACACAGGCGGCGACGTAAAAATTGCTGTAAGATCTGCGCAAGAGCGTGTTGGAGTTTCCTCTCCGTCGAACCATACGTATCACACCTCACAGAATGAGCCAAACCCTCGTCATCTGGAAACGTACCGAATCAATGGTCTCGACGGAAGAAACATGATATTTGTTGCTTTTGGTGTATCCTTTAAGCGCCATCCGCAACTGACCGTCATGATTTTAGTTTTGGGGGGGATGGTGAACCATCCCCGACTAAGGTCTGAAAATTTTATGACATACTAGTCTACTCCGTGGATTTAAATAGTGGATTCGTTTTTTTTTTGTTTTTGGCCGGGTTTCAACTCAAATTCCGTTTTTTACCCAGGGAATTCGAAAAACGCACAACCCGGGGACGGTCCCGAAAAATCCCCTCTTTTTAAAAGTGGTCAGATCGATCTGAAAATTTCAGGTCAGGGTAATTTTGGGGTGGGGATTACGAATCCGTGGTCCTTTTTTTTTTAATTCCATTTTGGTCTTGACATACAGGCACATATTTAGCAGCATCACCTCGCTTTGAAGAAAATCTAATTATTTCAAGTTTTGTTCAAATCTTCTCGGGTACCCCCAGCCCCTCACACCCCCAAGTTGTACCTCAAATGGGCTTTGAAGCCCACCTACTGCTCCACAAGCAAATACAAGAAGCACATCTCTTAAAAACCAGCCCACCTCCCGAAACGGGCAAAAATATTGGGCTCTTCCTTTCTACCAAGCTCTTCCCAAATCTTTGACGCAGCAGCAGATTCGCAATCCTGCCGTTGTGTCCCAGTAATTCTCTTCATCTTGCATTCCTTCTTCCTACTCCCGAACTGGATCCCCCGGGAGTTATCTTCGTCTACGGGCGCTACTCCAGTGTCCATGATCACCGTTTCCTTCACTTCGCCCTCCTGCATTGCCGGAAAGAGAAGTGGGTACGTCTTGCTAACGTAGCACTGCTCATACTCGCAACGCTGGCACGCCGGGCACAAGCACGACGCCAACCGAGTCCTGAGCCTGTATGTCCGTTTCACCTTTCTGCAAGTCACGTCTTCCTCCCCCGACACCGGATCCTGTAACCCAGCCCCCTTGCCCTTCCATCTGCTCGCTACTGCACCCAAAACCTTGACTTCCACCAACTTGCTCTTCTCTTGACTCGACAAGCTACCCCGCCCCTCGCGCTTAGGTACCAGCTTGCAGTCATTTTCGAGTCCCTCGGTCGTGGTGGACCCATCCCACTTGGGAGTGTTTGCTCCCGCGAAGTGGTGCATGTCTCGTATACCCTCTATGCCTGCCAGGACCGAGTTTGGCCGATATATCTCCTTGACGATAAACTCGACGTGCACCCTCCGCATGCGGTACGGAGACCACTTCGCGAAATACTTCCGCATACCCTCCTCCCCCTCGCTGCCTGCCTTCTCTCCCGAAAGAAGCTTCGCAAAAAGCTGACCACCCCGTCCGCCCCCACGATTCGCTTGCCAAATCTCTCCCTCCTCTTCATAGCGTTCTTTGCCACGCCGCCGATCCCATCATGGCAACCTTTGAAGTGAGATGCGGCCGCGAAGTGATGGTCGATGAAGAAGCCGATTTGCCGCACGCTGTCGGCCAAGAAGCGGAAATTCCGCCTTCCCTTGTACTGCTTCCCGCATCCATCCGTGAACATGTGAATCCGGGGCGTCCGGCCTTCTTTCCGGGCGGCAGCTGTTGCTTCGCTCCCATCTCCACGCAGGTAGTAGTCCTTCATCCTGGCCAAGCCGTGCAGGTGAAAATCGCAGTCATGCGCCATGTCTTCAGATGNAAAATCACAGCCATGTGCCATATCTTCAGATGCAAAGATCCATGTTTCCGTCACGTGCACCCTGCCACCCCCCACGTGTGCGGGTTGAATTGGACGATGGCCACCATGAGCGTTGTCTGCGGGTAAACCGGCATCATCATGCTGATGAAGGATTGGTGGATGTACTTCTCGGCAAAGTCGGTCTCGATGACAAGATCACCGTCCTGAAACGTCTCCAAGCAACGCCCGTGGCAGTGCCTTTGCCACTTGGCGACAGAGTGGTGAGCCATGTACAGCTTGGTGTGCTCTTTGAACGCCGACCAAAGATCGCAGAGCTTACCCTCCTTCGGCACGGCCTGGTTGGCGAGCTTCTTGGCCTTGATCTTTCCATCTGCTGATGCAGACGCAGTGATCACGTTCTCGAACATCTTCCACACCACCGTCTGCTTGGAGTTCTCTAGGTTGCTGCAGATGGGAATGCCGTCATCCCCCCCGAACCCACACTTCGCGCAGTCCAAAGCGTTGCACTCTGGTTTCCGCCCCATCCAACCGTCACCCTCCGGGTCCGCTGCCCGCAAGTTGACCTTGGGGCGGGCAATCGCATCGGAAAATATGCCCAAGTGCTTCCAAGTTTCCCGCCACCTGCTGCCGCCATCTGCCTTGCACCATCGACACCGGCATTCCCCGTGGCTGGTCATGTCGACATTGGCCAGGGCCTCGATGTATAGCACCTGCTGCGAGTGGATCTTGCACGCGCACTGCTCCATAGCAGGGAGGACCAGGCACTTGCACCGCGTCGAGAGGAAGAGCGTGCGGCCAGGGTCAGTGAAGTCGTCACTCTGTCGCTCCTTGAAGCTCCTGTAAGACGCCCAGTTGAGAAATTCGGCGTACACCGCGTCGCCCCCGCCCGGCTCGGTGAGCTGCCGCCGAGGGTGGCGGTGAACTGTAGGAGACTTACTCGCCTTCCACATGTCGCGCTCAGCTGAGTTGCCATGCTGGCGTGACACCTCATCCGTGTGCCAGTACTGCCTCATCAACTCCAGCAGCTCTTCGCTGGCGGCATTGCTTTGCTTAGCTCGGGGCCAAAACCAGTAGACACCGCGTTTTATCGCCTCGGTTGGATGAAGACCGGACAACAAATTCTTGGCACGCTCCACCGCGGAGTTGAAGGCGTGCTCGCGAACCCCAAGCGCCTTTGCCCGACGTGCTGCCGACAACGATGGAACCTCGTCTACGCCGTCCCCAGGAATGGCCGCAGCGGTGAGGATCGTTTGCAACGTGCGGCTTCCCTCCTTGGTTCTACGTTGCTTTCGTGCCTGCTCGATTGCTCGCTCCAACGAAACTGCTGTGCTGACCTTGTCTTCCAACTCTCGCAAGCGTTTACGGGCGTCCTTCGCAAACGTCGAGACGATTTCTTCCAAGTGTTTCAGCGCGTTGTCATACCCCATGCTGTCCATGGACGCGAGAAACGTTTCCGTACACTGCTGGCGCCAGTCGACCGGCGCCGTCTGTGTGCACACATGACGAACGAGGAGGCGGGGGGTACGACGTTGCGCAACGCAATAATACTTCAGCGCAAGGCACGACTGATGGAGAGACCATTTGCACACACAAAAATGGGCGCTTAGTTTCCGTTGGAGCTGGCACAGACGAGCTCTCGCTGTACAACTACGCGACGTTTCATGCAACTCGATCCTCTCGGTGGAATTAAAACCCCCTCGGCGCAATTATTCGTGTCTCGGCGAAATTACCGCATGTGTTGACTGATGGGTGCATTGTAAGTGGGCCTCGACAAACTTATCTGCTGTGCTGTTGATTGACTGAAACCTCTAGCGACATTAGCATCTCACCGGCTCAGCTGGCTGAATTGTCACCACCCTGGATCGGGTCCTGCCACCTCCTCGCAAAGCCGCCATGACGGGGTCTGCTACCTCTCTGTCGGCATTCCTCCTAGGGCCACCACCGCTGCTGCTGCCCCCCGAATGCCCTTGAGCCTTCTCCCACTTTTCGCGCTTGTTCTTGAGAACGATGCGAGCCATCTCTAAGGCTTTTGAGGTTATACTTTCTTCGGTATTCTCAACATAGACCTGGCGCTTGTTGGAAGACCTGTTGGGGTTCTTCTTGTCGACGAGAGTCGTCGTCAACAACACCTCTCCGCTACCCTTGTGTAGTCTCCACTCGTGCCGTACGACATGCCTAACCTTTCCTAGCCACAGTATGCGTTCGCACTTGCCCGGCTTTGACACAGGTGCCGCTAGCCCAGCTCCAGCTGCACTCATGTTTGAGCCCGCGCTCAGCTGAGTTTTGGTCTGACCACTTTTCCCAGTGGCTCTACCCCCCCAATCGGCCAAGAGGAATCTATTGCCGAGTTGTAGAAAAACTAGTTCGGTCGGGAATGCGGCGATTTTTGTTATTGAACGGGTTCCCGAACCATTTTTTTTCCAACATTTTTTTGGCTTTCTTTGTGCGGTTCTGAAAGCGGTTTTCGAAAATCTCTTTTTTTCAGCTGAGCAGGGCGTATGACGCCCAGTTGCGGATGGCGCCTGTAGTTTGGCAGCTGATCGGCGCCTTTCTGTACACACGCGCGTGGCGTGTGGCGTACCAAAGTAATGGATGGCAACTGGTTTGTGAGCGGGAACATGGATGACGTCAGACAACGTCGTTACACACATCAGGAGCGGACACCCAGGGTCCGCTGACTCACGACACACCCCGGCTGGTCTCACGCTCAGGGAGGGCAGGTAATAGGTACGAACGAGTTCGGCGGAGGGGACCCTCATACACATGGTGTTGACTCTACGGTTGTCCATGGTCTCCTGCCGGCCATGCGCGCCGCCATACTCGTTGTCACAACTTTCGTTTTGACCGCGGTCCAAATAGGCGGAGTACAAGCCGAACCATGTAGCCTTCACACGGTAAACATGACTGTGACCAGCGGCGACGATGCCAACAACCTAAGCGACGCGCTCACTTGCACTGGCGGGGGGACGTTCGAGGTCAGCTGGATTGGGTCTATCCAGATCTCACTAAGTATGGTCCTCGGGGCAGCATGCTCAACGTTACAGGTTTGAGCGCCCAAAACGTTACCGAAACGTTGAACCAGAAAGAGGCGGTAAGGGTCAAACACAGACAACAGCGGTTATGAATTTGTTGCGAAGAATCCCCGTCGGCGAGGTATATTGCTACACAACCGTCCACAGACCTCACTACTACAATATCACGACTGCAGTACCGCAGGTATGTATTACCTGTAGATTAGAGTAGCACTCCTTCTTGACGGCCGAGCAAGGTGTAAGAAGAAGGGGAGAAGTGCCCCGCATACCCCTGAACCTTCTCTGTTGGGAGATATTCAACTGAACCTCTGCAAGTGCTCCGGAACGCCATGGCCTCGATGCATACGGAAGCAGGAGTCGGTAGCAATAGCACGGAGGAGGGGAATCGACACTCGCTGTGTGGCGGTGTGGCGTACCAGATTCTTTCACTACAGCATTTTTTTCGTAGTACTGCTGTACATAGTCCACACCCTCGTGGAGCTACATACGTCGCGCATACAAGTACGAGTCTAGAGGTAATCTGGGTGATCTGACAACAATCGGCTCGCTTTGACGATCCCACAGGAGGATCAGACGGAGTTGAGATTGACGGTGGCGGTTTCACTCAGTTGTTCAACGTGAGGAATTCTCGTCTACACCTTCAAAATTTGGCTCTTTCGAGGGGACCCACGAATGGCAGTGGCGCTGCGGTATCACCAAACAACGCTGCAATCTCCGTCTACGATTGTGCGCTATCGGAGAACGTCGCTCCGTCGCTCCTGTAGGCGACGGAGGTGAGACCACTTGTACAGCACAGTAATGTACAACTTCAAGAAGTAAAATTTAAGGCCTTGCCAAATCCTTGCCAAAGCCTTGCCACGGAAATTCGATCACAATCAGACAGGCCAATATTTGGGGGTACGACTGAAAGTTAATTCGTACGTTGGGTAGAGGACGCTGGCACCTCAGGAGGTCTACCGTGGAAAAATCTTCTGTGAATGTCCTTCCCGTTTCGACGGGAGGGCTCACCTCAAAGGATACCTTACTACTGCTGGAGGGTTGGGCCACGGGGGGGGTGCACACGTAGCTTGGCATTAATATCATCACCACATGGTTTCCCCCCCTCCCCATCGGGGTTAGGTTTTCGTCGCGTGGCAACGACGTTGGAAAACAAGCCGCCCCAACCCGGTGTTTGCGAGCGGGGTTGGGTTTCCGTCGCTTGGCAGCGATGTTGTAAAACTAGCCATCACTTCGTGACCTCGGCAACCAGGTTACCGCTTTTTTTTGCCTTTTTTTTTTTTGCGGTATCGAGTAGATTATGTTGTGCGGGGTGGAGAACCTTCACTCCGCCACAGAGGGGATCATCGCTCCACGTTGTGTTAAATTGGTCAAGCACCCTCGAAGCAGTTACACGGTGCTTGCAACTGTCTCTGGAAGTGAAAGCACCAGACGGATAATTATGTCGTACGCAGCTGTCATCCATACGAAGGAAGCAAGCACAAGTTGCCGAACACCCCTAGTAGGATGCAACGCATCCTTCATGCGACTCGCCGAAAACCTCACGGCGCTTCGCGCTTGGTGATGTGAGAGCCTGGTCCGGTGAGACCCCGGCGTGCTCCGTCCCGGCTTTGTAGGGATGCGAGGTCAATGGTCTANAATAAATTAACTTTTTAGAATTGTACTACCTTTAATATTTGGTTAATCTTAGACCAAGCTTAGTCTAAACTTAGACCAAACCTAGATAGAATATCCGGGTATCTTCGGGGTAGTTGACGGTTTAGATAGGGTTAACGCCCATTTTAAATACAATGGGTAATCTTATAAATTGTAGACATAAAACAATAATCTTTAGGCCTACTAGAAGGTCGTGAACACCCTCTATGCAACAGCGGCGCTGCAGACACTCCAATAACGTCTCCCGGCTCCAATTCAGCACAACCTGTGAGGGGAATTTGTTGGAGTCCATGGGAAACGAAAGCATCGGGGGACGAAAGCGTTCCTACCTCTGGTCGAAACGATACGAGGTACTCGCCAATCAACGCCGGCAGACCAGAAGAGCGGACGAGGTTCACCTCAACAAGTGCAGGCTCCGGCCCCAAGGAAATTCCCGAAGTCCCTTCATATTTGAGGTGAAAAGAGGACGCAGGGGCGTNGAGGGGAATTTGTTGGAGTCCATGGGAAACGAAAGCATCGGGGGACGAAAGCGTTCCTACCTCTGGTCGAAACGATACGAGGTACTCGCCAATCAACGCCGGCAGGCCAGAAGAGCGGACGAGGTT